GACAGGTGTGACAGAGGTCGTTCGTCGATAAATCGTGTGTTTAATAGCTTAGAAGTAGATTAGCATGTTATTGACACAAAGCCTCAAACAATTTCAAATCATTGATGAACATGACTGAATCGTTGCAGAATTCAATAATGTAAATTATATTTTAACAATGATATTTTAGGAATATTCTTTTGCTTAGTCATTTCGCATCCTAATTACAATTATCACCATAATGCTCTATGCCAGTACATAATAATATCACTTTTATGCCTGCAAAATATGAAGAGGTAAATACAGTCGCATCTCTTTAGCGGACAGACAGAAATGCTGCGGCCAGTTCTGCTTCCGCCAGCACCCGGTAGCTGAAACGCTCGGCTGACTTCTACGTAGCTAGTCAACGGCATGCGGATGCGTCGATAGCATTCATGATGATTAGATAATTAGAATAATTTGTCACTGATTCATATGTTAATATGAATCGTTTGTAAATGATTGACAGCAACTGGAATCAGACGCAGTTCTGCACACCGATTGAATTCCAAAATAATTACGAGGGCTTCGAATTGGTTACAATTCTTGCTATGTGCTGAGATTTGCGTTCTACCGAATTCAACATTAACTTGTGTATGATATTAGCTTTCATTTTAACATTTGTGCTACAACTATAGAATTTTCTCCATTAAAAATTCCGTTCACTTGAATTGGGACAATCCCTTCGGGCGCAATCGCACCCTATAATTGAATGACGGAGAGACGAAGGCTACTCGAATTCTTGAATTTAATTGCTTCGAATCTACGTACATATATGCGACCTTAATTAACAGGAAGATTGTTTGTAGGTTCCATAAAAATATTCGATGCATGAAATGATGAAAAGAATGCTAGTTTTGAGGAATGCGTTCGGGGAAATTTTACGTTCAAGTCACAAGTGAAATCAACTTCAATGCATTGAAATACGTATTTATTTTCCATGAAGATGCAAATACAAGATAGTGACAGATGGAATTTAGAATTAAATTTCAATTATGGATTGTACAGCTGATATATATGATTTAAAAAACAACAACGAAAGAACATTCTAAACACCATTCAAACTGAAGTCTTATAAGTTATATCAACGATCAGAATTACAATAAATAGGGAAATATTTTCAGAGGAGGAAATATTTCAAGAAGCATTTGAACAGGACAGCAATGATGGGTTTGAAAAGGAAACGCAACGTCTACTTATGTTCACGCAGTACTTTGCATTCCTGCAGCTGGTCAAGAATGTGTGATCTAACCCCGCCCTGCTGGGTAGATTATCCTTGAAATTTTAAAATCCCGCTATTCCGAATCCTTTCATCACAAATATTGATATTATTTTTGAAAATTTATAACGTCAATTAAAGAAAGACCTGTTCCAACTTCACGAAGGGAATAACATTTTTATTTATGAATTTACTCTTAAGAAGACGTTGTATCGTTTGTAATCATAATTGTTGATTATAAATGCTAAGATTATATAATTCAAAACAGGGATATTACTTTTTTGTGAAGTGTTCGGAAATGACCGAATTTAAGTTGCTCATCTTCTAAGACTAAAAACGCGAACGATCCTAGAGTCAATGACGAACGTCAGTCTCAAATCTTATAGGCGGCTTGTACACGGAGACAGTTAAGTGACAACCACTAAAACTTGTGAATACTAACCGCCACTATTTGCCGTGTCACTGGCCTCGTGTGTAGTCTTTACGGGTCACGGAAGGGCCCAGTAACCCTTGACATGAAGGCAGTGGCATGATACTTATAGTTGTAGTTAGCATTTGAAAATTGTACTGGCCGCCACAACTGTCCCGTGTACAACCACCTATAGCGTCAGAAAATTGTACTGGCTGCCACTATTGTCCCCGTGTACAAGTAGCTATAGGTTGGGCGTGTGTGGCCTACATCCATGACGTCACGCACTTGTGAGGTCACAACATTCCTACGAAAGGTCAGTGAAGTTATATAAGGGAGTGGCCTGCCGCACTTCGTTACAGTTGTGGTTGACTTCTTGTCTAGTGAACACCGCAAGATGAGGGTCCCGCTGTTGGTAAGCTCATTATTTTAAATGAAGTATACCTCTTTTTTTTTTGTCGTGAATGACACTAATAAGTAGCTGGGAATATCTACTTATTAAGGATAATATCTACTATATTAAGGAACCATGTTTCAATATATGTAATGAATATGCTGATGTATATCAGCATTAAACAACTGTCGCATGGAGACCTTATGATTCTCGCCTTATCTAGAAAATTTATTGAAAATTCCGAAAATAATCCTCAATATATTAACAAATTGAATTAACAAATAAATTAACGTGGAAACATATTTGTTGATATAACGAGCATGCATTGCGCGGGTTTCCGCTCTTCCGTCGGTTTAAATTTTCATCAGATCAAATAAATTATTTAATAACTAGAATTTCCATGCAACAAATTTCATCGTTTTTTTTTTAACGTTAACGAAAATTTACGATCAGTTTACCTACTCTTTTCATCAGAAAAGTGCTTCCTGGAAAAAAATCCAAATTTTCTTGAAATTTATTTCACATTTGCTAATTGAAACTAGCATAGTCCATGCAGCCTCAAATAATAAGTAATTGTTTATAGTGGACTGAAATTTTTGTAATTAAAGCGAAAAAAATCAATAATTCGGCATTGCATAACAAACTGCGATGAGTTCATAAGTTTTTATGCCGCTCTGCAACGGAGTGTGTCGTAAATTTTTTGAGCATCGGAACCTCATCCAACAGATTGAGTACAGCTATCTTACGACATCGCAGCCTTTTACGACCTCACAGCTGTCTTATACGACATCGCAGCTGTTTTACGACTTTGGAGATGTTTTACAGTCTAAAATATAAAAACTTTTTTACAACCAACTGAGAGCTGTTTTACAACCAAAAAATTGTCTCACAACTTCACAATTGTTCTACGACTTTACAATAGTTTTACTACATTACAATATCTTCTGACCACACATTTGCCCTTATTTGGTCCTAACGCTGGCTGCCCACAATATTGCGTGTACCTTTTGTAAGATAAATTGCTAATTCTACTGTGTGAATTTTTTAAAATAATGTGACAAAATTAAAATAACAAATATTTTCATCACAACCCTGTAGTTGATCAAAACTGCCATCCAAATTGGGTGATTTTCAAGATATAAATTAAAATATTGTAATTTTAAACTTTATAAGCAATGACAACATTACCTGCATTGAAAATAAAATATATCAAGTGGGAGGAAAACATTGGGCGAAGAGACACCTACACTGTGAGAAATGAGTGAGACAATGTCCAAATAGCGATGCACTTGTGCCCATGCGTGGGTCGTCTTGAGGTTTACAACCCCGACAATAGGTCGTATCAGTGCTACGTGCTCGAAGTGTTCCACTATTTGGACAATTTGATTCATTAAATTTTCTGACAGTATTCTAATTTGTATCCAGTCTCTCGACACGGCTACAAATTGTGTCCGGCCACACGACACGGCTACAATTTTATCCAATCACTCGACACGGCTATAATTTTTATCCGACATGGCACTAATTTTATCCAGTCACCCGACACGGCTCTAATTTTATCCAGTCACCCGACACGGCTCTAATTTTATCCAGTCACCCGACACGGCTCTAATTTTATCCAGTCATTCGACACGGCCCTAATTTTATCCAGTCACTCGACACGGCTACAATTTTTATCCAGTCACACGACACGGCCCTAATTTTATCCAGAAACTCGCAACGGCTACAATTTTTATCCAGTCACTCGACACGGCTCTAATTTTATCCAGTCACTCGAAACGGCTACAATTTTTATCCAGTCACTCGACACGGCTTTAATTTTTTCCAGTCACTGAACACGGCTCTAATTTTATCTAGTCACTCGACACGGCTCTAATTTTTATCCAGTCACTCGACACGGCTTTAATTTTATCCAGTCACTCGACACGGCTTTAATTTTATCCAGTCACTCGACACGGCTCTAATTTTTATCCAGTCATTCGACACATCGACACGGCTTTAATTTTATCCAGTCACTCGACACGGCTTTAATTTTATCCAGGGTATCTGGGTGCGGGAAGGGCACGATGCCCCAAGACGCGTTCCCGCCTCAGTTGGGCAGTCCAAGGTCTTATTCCAGCAGACTATACCTGCTCATCGAAGGTTTATATATACACGCTTATATATATTCTTCAAGCAGTCGTTCCTGAACTGCTGCATACAAGCCACACTCAGAAATATAAATGGGTCGTATTAGTTACACACTTTATACACGTAGCACTGATTCGCACTTTAACCGTGAAAATGGATCAGGAATACCCACGTACCCACGTAAAAAGTGTATCACTTTTTGTAATGCACTTTGCAATCGCTTTGTAAAAGTGCGTGGAAATACCCACGTAAAAACTGCATCACTATTTTAATAATTCTCATTCACTTCTCTGAGCGCGAAGATGTCAGAACATTTGAACGTTGCATTAATAAACAATAATCCACACACAGTTACGGGAGGATTATTTGCATTGTTTTCAGGAATTCTATATGCCAGTTAATAACCAATCAAATCATAGCAGATGCTATGTTTTCGATGATATTTTACAACAGACATTCCATGAATTAATTATCGTGGCAGTGCTTATAAGTGCCGGACAGCTGTGGCCTTCAGTCAAAGGCCACCGGGCGCCTTATATTGCAATGCTATGTGTGGTCTTCAAAGCAGACCACTCATGTTTGGCAGGATTTCCGGGGACTTGCATTTTCAAGCACTTGAATAGGCGAGAGAAGTAGTCAACTGATTAGTCGACCGAAATAAACTTCAGTTATCTAGTCTGTTTAGCTTTGGTCTTACTTCATGTAACAATTAACAATTGTTGAACCAAGAGAAAAGATTTTACGAAAGATAATCTACGAATTTGTGTTTTAGGGGCAATTTGTGATAGAATGCGATTCTATCGTCAAGGTTAACGACAAGAAACTGAAACCGGCTTAAAAAAACAACGAAAGAAAGTTCTAAACACCATTCAAACTGAAGTCTTATAAGTTATATCAACGATCAGAATTACAATAATTACTTCAAGTCTTACTCATTTGGGCAGCGTTTATGCAATTTTAAACCTTAACAAAAATTAGGAGGTATGCTTGTTGATGTTGATTGAATGTCTTTCTCATTTTAAATGAGCGTTAAGTTGAAGGATGGACTCTCACAGACCTGCAGCTGACCATGAACCAGTTTATATTACGACAGCATTTTATTGATCTTTAACAACTGCTTAGATAATGCGCTGCTGATGATAAAGCTACCAGTTCATATTATGATGAGGCTGCTGATCAATAGCCTCTTATTATGAAGACGTAATTGTTCCTAAGCACACAGGCAAAACAATTTTATTAAGAGACAGCAATTTAAATTTATTCAAATCTAATTTTACCCGTTAAAAAATTTAAAAAATTAAATTTCAGAGGTACACATCATATGATGATATTTTGCGTCATTAATATCTTGAAAAAGTCTTTGAAATGTTTTTCGATGGTAAAAAAAAAACGGAACGAAGAAATGGTACGAACGAATGCGGTTTGAAGTGTGCAAGGTCCCCCCCTTCTTATGCAAGGTCTAAACACATCGCTAAGCAGTTGACCGCAGTTATGTCGTTCGCACGGCGCGAAGGAGTAACATTTTAACTAATATTATAGTCAAGCTTTAGTAAAAGTTGCGTCAGACTTAGGCTGGGTCCGGCGGTCGAGGCCGAAAACTTCTTGCTTCATCTTCTGAACGAAAAGTGCCACGCACGCTGACCATTCCGATCTAAAATTTGGTCTTGGGGCAGCGGAGAAACAGAAATCGGTCAATGCTTGGAATGCGTGAAGAAAATTTCGGTACCGCTGACGAAATTTTTTATGCCGACTCCTAAAATTTGATCGTGATAATTTACATATTTTGCAAAAAAATATAACAGCGAGATTTCAAAATGTGTAAATAATATTACCATAAATAAATTCTTTTATTTTGAAATTCGGCATCGTAGCGTGTTTATGATCATACGAGACAACTCTACAGACAAATCGCTTCTGCAGCTGCAGCAGCAATTTCTACTGACTAGTGACCTATTAAAGAGCATAGACATTATTCATCCCACCGTTGAATTTAGCAAGCGAGAGGCTACTTTTTTAAGCTGGGATATATTAGCTCCGGTAGGATCAATGTCTCAAGAAGATCGAGCAGAAGCCGAACAACGCCTTTCGCTTTTTAACCTGTGCCTGATCGATGTGAACATGAGCTGCCTGTGCGCTCTAAAAGTTCCAGTGACCTAGCGCACGCGGTTTATAAATTCTTCGTTTAATATTTTGGATTGAATTTCTAGTCCTCGAATGCCAATTGTTGAAATTTTAGGGATTTTTCAACGATCGACGTAGAAAAATATGCACTCGCAATTTTGTTAATTTTTTAAGAAGATTTTTGAAATTAATTAATTAAGAAGAAGAAGAAGTTAATTTTTAAGAAGATTTTGATTTAATTTTGCGTTATTTGAAAATTCAAATCCCAGCACATGGGAACATACATTTATTTCTGAATTTCTCTTTCAGTACAATTAATTCTAGGCACACTTAATATTTTTAGAAATGGTTTTGAAAATTATTGGATACTGATTTAACTAATCACTGATTTAACTAACTACCTACACCCGAGTGAATCTTGCGCTAGTGCATTGAATGAATCCTCTTATAATTGAATGTAAAACCTGGAGCTGGATAAACCAAATACATCCAATAGGGGCATTTAACAGGCGTCAAGCCGGATTAGTCAACCAAGAAAGTCAACCACAAACAACCCATAATAAGTTGACGTGGCCTTGCTGCTCCCACGCTTCTTGCAATGAAAGTGATCGGTAGGGCGTGCAATTAAGATATCTAAATTCATTAATGCAATTTATTAACCTTGCAATTAATTAATAATGCAAATATTAATGTAAATGGGAATAAAAATTAATTTATCAAAGGTCAGGCGCGTTAGAACAAACCCAAATTTGGACGAAGGCCCGACGAACGGGTTTCAATATCCGAATTAATTTATTTGGGATAAAGAACTCGAAAATGTTAATGAATTAGTGGAAAATACGAAAAATAAATTCCAGGTTCTTTGAACTTGACTGAGAAGGTCAAGTTTTCAGCGTAGTTTGGAATAAAATTATCCAGTACAGGTTATTATTAATAATAATATTTCATAATAAAATAATAATAGTACAATGTATAATAAAACAATAATATATATCTAATAATATATTAAACTTCGATTATTGATGATGGATAACGTAGACACAGCTTATATGGCTTTAAGCTCCTTATTTATATTGGAAGATCGAAATTTTGAAAGCTTACTGCCAACTTGGCTAATGACTTTTATATTGCAGCTGCCTTGAATGCCAAGTATTTAACTGGTGATTGATAGGAAATTCATACCAACTTCGAAGTAAATGATAATGGATTTCAAGAAACGTTTTGCAAAAGCATACGTAAAGCGAATGATCAGAGAATACATTAATATGACTATTAAATTAATAATTTGCCTTTGAAATACAATAAGATACAATAATGTAGGATACATTTATTCGTCGGTAATTTTGCTAATAATTCCATTTCGTGGAGCCTTATCAACGAAATTAGTGAATGCAGCGTTAGCTAGTATTGATTTCAATTCGTTGTTTAGTCATGAAATCAAGTTCCAACATTGACTAATTTTGAATGAAGAAATCTCGATTGCCTCGAAAAAAATAGGCCCGGCCGGAGTCAAACGCAAATAGTGATTCAGAAACACTGCTTTCCTGAAGACCAGGAATCAGGGCAGGACAAGCTAGAGGGAACGCCATACAGACGACCTTTAGCGACATTCTTTCTGGGCCACAAGAACTGAGCTGTAGCCTAGCGCCGTGACGCAGTGAAAGGAATTTCCCTCATAAAAACCATCAGTAATTATTACGTCCAGCCGCCTCAAGCTCCTACTGAACAACTAGTTTACGATTCAAGTAAAGAAGTAGTAAGTGATTTATCAGTATCCTCTGTAGGCATATTGCGTAATTTTACAAGCTAAACATGGAATCACACGCGTCGGAATTTATTTCTTCGGAAATATTCACAGTCGTAAAATAATGTCCATCATCCTGATGATGAATTCTCTGAATGGAATAGATTACAGGCGAGTGTTATTCAGGTAGATTCAATCCAGCCTCGGGACCAGCAACGATCGCTGAGGGCGACCTAAGGCCTTCACAGAGGCGCGCCGCAGCCTTGGGTGCTCAAGACATGCCGCTGGGCAGAACCATACAACGTGCATCTGTGTACATGGACCGCTTCAAGTCCTATAAAAACTAATAAATGAGCGGCTTAGGTGGTGCTACCGGAGCACTGTTTTTTATTAGGCTGGCATTGAACTTTACGTGTGTTAAGAGGTAGAGAAAACGGCCTACTCTTCTAGGGCATCAAGTGACCAGCTGCTGTGTGGAGCCTACAATCTAGTTTGCAGCACCGACTGGTCTTTAACAGAGATGTACGTGCTTTTTGATTATAACTTTCTCATAAATTTGTTAAATAAGCTTGGCGAACTTTGCTCATTCATAGAATAATCATTTTTATGACGCCAAATTGATTTACTAGTAAACGAATTTGGCTAATGTTTGTGTGCAATGGCGTAAAAACCCTGACCTTCGACTCAAAGTTCTAAAGTAACAAGTGTTTTTTAAAACCACAACCGAAAATAAAAGCTACAAGATATTTTCCTGAGCTCATTTCGAAGAAATATCGGGATCTCCACCAGGGAAGGACATGGGCCGTACTATCAAAACTCGTTGAAGTTCTATATCAGAGGCCTAAGTACACGCATCGGATGATTTCTCGTCTGTGATTGGTGGGATAAGCTCTAAAAGCGTACCTACGTGATTGGCTGATAAATTTACGAACTCTTAAATTATTTTTGAAAGTATGGCTACTGATCTCAGTAGGGGCGACTTAACAGAGCAGAGGGCTGCTTGCAAGCTTTGGTTTCTTGAGGTCAGCGAGAGTTGAGAATATCAGGCAAGAGGAAGATTGTGCCGCGGCCACCAGTGATAGCGAAAGTTCCAACGCAGCATGAATGTAGAACGGCAGAGGCGACAACAGAAGCAGTTACTTTACGTAGAGACGAAGCAGCGTCATAACGTTGAGAAAACTGCAGTAGCTTAAGGTAGAGACAAATGTAGCAAGTTTACGTAGAAAAAAACTACAGTAGGGTTAGGTAGAGAAAACTCATGTAGCTTAACGTACAGCTGACAATTGCAGTGAGTTTACGTAGGGACAAATGTTGTGGCTTATTGCCGTCACATAGCAGGCCGTCACATAGCAGGCCGTCACATAGCAGGCCGTCACATAGCAGGTCGTCACATAGCAGGCCGTCACATAGCAGGCCGTCACATGGCGGGACCGGTTGACATTATCGTCAGGTGTGGCGAGGTCAACTTATGCTCGCATGACCTGCCGTGTGTGTGCGCTCGCCTGGGCCACAAGCCTCTAACAATAAACAATCCCTGCTTTATTTCGCCAAAGAATGCGGAGTAAAAGTTAACGCGTTGCAAGATTTTGCAGAAATGTGAAGGAAATATTCCTTTAAGAGCTCTTTGCAGATAAAATAATACTTTGGTTAATTTTGTAAGTAAAAATAAATTTCCTGGGGTTCCAAGAATACGACAGTAAATAAGTTAATTCTGAGGTACCACAGAGGTGAAACATTTATTCACAGTTTTCTTAATTTTTTGTCACATTTTTGCACGCAGTGACGGCAGTTTTATATGAAAGAATATTTTCATTTATCTTATGCTCTCTTGGTTTTGACTGAGAAATAAAAACGCTGTACTCGCTTACCTTCATACTTCATAATTAACGTATTCTTTCCCAATTATTTTTCTATCATAAAAGAATAAAAACATATTTACCTAACATCATTGGCTACTTTCAATGCCAAGGACCGTTTCTACTGAAAGTCTGCTGCGCTCGTCACGTTGGATCGTGACAGGAAGCTTCCACTGAATTTCACTCGCCAAATGCATTCACCTTGAACTTGAAAAACGGACATTCGATCCATGTCAACACTAATTAGAACAACAGCTAATTCCTTGTCTGGCTATGGATTAAGGAAGGAGAGACCGTACGTCAGTTAAAGCAGTTCCGGCATGAACGGCCAAATTCAAGGCAATGACGTTAAAAAATAGGATTACGAGATGATTTCGTTTAAACAACGTTCAAACAACGTTATTTCAACGTCAGATGCCTGGTGGGTCGGGCGTGCGAACTAAGGTTGGAGTTCGACACGTTTTATCACTACAGAAATTTTCTATTGTTAGACGTGGCATTAAACTTTACTGACAATCCGGCCAGTGAAATAACTGAAAATTCACATTTACCTCAGTCTATTATAACATTTTCAACTGTCATACATCATTTCAAAGGCCATTGAATTCGTAAAATGTACAATTTACTGCGTAAATGAAAATCATTTGATACAATAATTTCACTAATTTCATCTTGTCTTATCTTATTTCATCGGACGCAGCATAATTTTTGACAGTAGTTTTGTTCAGTAATTGATACTTGCCTAAAAGATAAAAATCACTCGAATTACGTTTTTTTATGAACTTCTATGCGAAAAAAGTTGTACATTTTGGACAGTGAAATTTCATTTTCAACGCAAATTTTTAATTTGAAGAAGTGAAACGCTGGAAAATTTTTTGTTCATTCATCTACATTGTTTTTGCGCTTTTTATTATATTCACGAGATTTTTCGTATGATTGTTTCTTTTTCGAAAGCTTCAATTGAATTCAAAATAGGTCTCCATGAGATTTTCGGTTATGACAAAACAAATTTTCGAGGTACTAACGCAATTTAGCAACCAATTAGCTTCGACTATGAAAGGATGCCTGCAGTTAACAAGCCTGTGTATGTGCAGGTGCTGGGAGCAGTACTGCTGTGTGCAGCGGTTGTGCTCGGACAAGAGACCTCAAGAGGACGCGGAAGACTCAGGGAGCTGGTCCAGAAGGCACGCGCCGGCGATGCAGAAGCTCAGGCTTTGCTGGCTTCCCGACGCAAGAAGGTTGTTGGGACTGAGAGACCAGCTCAAGGAGGAGGAGTGAGAGAACGTGAACAAGCCACCGTCGCTGCAATTCTAGGGGGAGTTGCAACAGCCCCTGCACCAGAAGCAACAGAGCAACCAAGCAGAACCCAAGGACTTCTGGCAAGGACCCGACAGAGGGGAGAATCTCTTTCAGCACAATCATCCAGGAACAGAGGAGGTTCTCGGGCTCAACAGGCTGAAGTTACAACATTCAGACCAAAGGCCCCGCCTCTGCCAACGACAACACCTGCTCCTCCTATAACTGAGGCAGAAACTCAACTGCCCTTCGAAGAGGACACTTTCGCTGATACGGAAATAAATCTTGAGGCAGGTAACACTGTAGATCTAACACCTACTAATGTAATCCCTTCCATGTTCCAGCCTGCCCAATTCGGTCCAGGTGGTAGAGGAGTGCAAGCTGGATCAGAATCTATCATACGAGCCCCAAGACCTGTGGCTCGAGAGCAGACGACTCAACCCAGAACTCGTCAGCCTCATAGAGCAATCCAGAGAGGATTGGAAACAGGATCTAGATCTGAATTCATTAATCTCGTAGAACCAGCAGCAGAAAACGAGGAACCAAGAGCCCCACCGATTCAAACTACTCGCCGCTACTCCTACTTTGACGAAGCTGGAAACTATATTTTCGGATACGAAGCTGAAGATGGCTCGTTCAAAGAAGAAATTAGAGGCAAAGACTGTATTGTCAACGGAAAGTATGGTTACGTAGATCCTGATGGTATCCGGAGAGAATTTACGTACGTCTCTGGTAACAAATGTGATCCCAACAATCCTGAAAGTGATCTTCTGCCAGATGGAACTAGAATTCCGTCTGGTGATCAGTTCCTTCACCAAACTCAAGAACAAGCTTTGACAGACGTTGAGCTTTCAGCTTTAGCATTCAACCGAAGACGCCGACCTGTTCAACAATCTTCAACCATTGATGCGTCGCAGCAACGTCATTCTTCTCGCCCACAAGTATCACGCCCGAGGACAAGACCTGCTCCACAACCTGAACGGTTCGCCCCTCAACCTGAACGGTTCACACCTCAACCTGAACGGTTCGCACCTCAACCTGAACAGTTCGCTCCTGAACCTGAACAGTTTAGTCCCCAGTTTGCAGAAACCTCTGAGCCTCGGCTTCCAGAACCAGAGCAAGCAGTAGATCTAACACCCACTAAGGTTGTGCCCTCTATGTTCCAGCCAGCACAGTTTGGTTCGGATGGTAGAGGAGTGGCCCCAGCACAAGATAGGTTCCCTGTTCCTGATTTCCTCAGTTCTTCATCGAGGTCTGGTTCTTCACAAAAGAGAAAAGAATCAAGGTCACGTCAGCCTCAGCAGCCTGAAAGCCGGCATGAAGAGCGCCAGCAAGAGAGACCGAGACAGGAGCAGCCTGCAGCAGCCTCTCCCGTTGACCTGACACCGACGAACGTAATTCCTTCATTGTTCCGGCCAGCTCAATTCGGTCCAGGAGGACGTGGTGTCCAGCCAACCGATGCCGTCACAAGACCTCCAGTCAACTTTAACTTCGACCAGGAATTTAGAAGCGTATTTTCTCACTTTGATCGTCAGGGATCTTCCAACTTCAATCCAAAGCCGACTCCTCGTCCAACCCCACCACCGACGACCCCACGACCTATACCTCCACCAACTCCGCGTCCTGCTCCTTCCCCTGCACCAACATCCGGACCCAGAGAAATCCCATCTCTATTTAGGCCAGCCCAATTCAGTTCTGTAACCTCCGCACCTGCTCCTTCTAGACCAAGAATCGAAGACAATTCTCTCACCTTGTCTGCAACTCCTCAGACCGGCGCTCAACAGCTTGTGTTCGATGCCTCGACCGGAACATTCAAAACAGTTCATCTTCAATCGACGAACAATCACTTCGTAGCACCCGTTCCTACCCAGCCTCCTCGACCTCCAACTCAACCACCGCCACCTCCTCCCACTACACCTCGACCACCTCCTCCTCAGACATCCTTCTCCCAAGGGGGACGAGCCTTGCCAATTTTCGAAGAATCGAACTTCAGAAACCCTCTGCCTCCGATCCCAACTTCTGCAGCCGAATTCGATCGATTCTTTGCTCAGTTCCCGACAGCCGGCTGAGTAACGAAATAATTTTCACCATAATGTAAGTTACGTTTTATTTTTAGTTATTAAGCTTCAGTGAAGTGATCGACGTTCAACATTGCCATATTGCTTCTGAGTTCATAGAGAGTAAGGAATTGCGAAAATCAATCCTGTTTATGTGAATTATTTCTAGAATGAGAAGCCTATAGAAAATAGTTATTGATCATGCGCTTATTTATTTGCAGTGTGCGTCAATTTTGATGAATTTGTTTAGTTAAATTTAGAGTATCAAATATCCATCTGGGATCGAAAGCTCAAATATTATTCTGGTTTAATTTACAAATCTCTACCAAAGAAAGACAATCTATCCAAGTACAGAGTGCAGCATGCGTTAACTTCAACGAGTTGAATAAATCTTTGTTACTCGAGGCGTTGTTTAAATTTTCCTCGGATTGATAAAATTTGCGCTCATTTTGTGATCGTATCCTTAGAATCGATCAAATTTGTTTTTATTTGGTGATCGCAACATTAGAATCAATAAAATTTGCACTCATTTCGTGCTCGTATCCTTAGGATTAATAAAACTTACACTCATTTGGTGCTCGTATCCTTAGGATTGATAAAATTTGCACTCATTTCGTGATCGTATACTTAGGATTAATAAAACTTACACTCATTTGGTGATCGTATCCTAAGGATTGATAAAATTTGCGCTCATTTGGCGAGTGACAAGAACTGGTCCGAGTGACCTCGCTTTTTTGTATAGGCGGCCGACCTGCATGCGAGCAGTGGCAGGACTGACCTGATCTTGGGCGAGAAGAACTGGCTAGAAGGCTTGAATTTTTTCTCATGCACTGGGGATTTTACTCCTTACGACAAAGATTTTTTAAAGCCAAGTTAATTTAATTATTTACACTAAATTCATTCGCAATAGGATGATTATATGGAGGGTTGAAATTTTCCAGCATAAATTAACTTTCAGATGAAAAATTTTCAGGTCATATGGAAATGTGAAACAAATTATACTACGATCGCTCCTTCCTGTTAGGAATAAATATTACCTGAAAATTAGTAAGCGCTATTTGAATGCATAACATTAAAAAAAGTCTTGCGTGCAATTATGGAATTTCTTTCAGTGTGTGATTCAAATTTACATTTTTTGTTTGCTGTCTAATGTTCCTATAAGAAAGTTGCATCATAATAGTGAAGTTAGTTGAGCGGCACAAGTATTACGTGAAGGTTTAAAGCAGTTGGACTCAGTGCAACAGTTCTCAGTCGCAATGTCACGTCGTCCTTGCACCTGTTCTAGATTTTCCTTCAGCGATCTTATAAGATAACAGAGCAGCTTCATCAGAGACTGCTCTCCATGAACAGCCTTGCCTCACAGCCGTCGGGTGTGTACATTCTTCCGTAAACTTATTTCCTGTGCAAATTTGCTAACGAATTTCTCACATGTAAATTGATTACCGACTTGGCGCAACTGCTAATTTGTAGCCGCGTATAACTGTACCGACTTTGCAGCCGCGTATAACTGTACCGACTTTGCAGCCGTGTATAACTGTACCGACTTTGCAGCCGTGTACAACTGCACGACTTTGCTGCCTTTTACAACTGTACGACTTAGCTGCCGTGTAAATTGGCTACTTCAACTCTGCTATCGTGTATATATGCTCCCAACTTTACTACCTTGTTTATTTGCAACCTATCCTCCGGCAGCACAAAAAAATGCGTAGTTATCTGTTTTAACGTTCGGCTTGAGGAAATCTCATGAATTTTTTTGGGCGAAAAATTGTAGGCAAGCAAGTTAGAAAATAACATAAATTTTCGTTGGGACTGCCGTAATGTTTCATGTCCGAGCATCAAATGAAGTTCTTCGCTTCTCGGCCCGCGACAAACTTGACGTTAGAAATATTAAGACGAAGCATAAGCGAACATGATGTAATCGGAATGCGTTATTGTAATTAAAATCCTATTCAAATTGTTATTTGCAAGAAAGCCACCAATTTCTTTCTATTTTAATGGTAATTTTTCGAGAATTTCAATTCATAAGCTATAAATATATTGTCAGTCGAATTTATCCCATCATCTATCTATAAATAAATAAATAAATAAATAAAAAGGCAAATTCATCTAATCACATTTATCGCAAGGCCAAGGGACAGATGAACTGACGCTGTTCTCCGCACGTAAGCTTTTCAAAAGCCGTAAATTTGGGTTCAAATTGTCAGGTTAAAACTGAAGGCTGAGTAATGACTGGCTAGAGATCTATGATCCAATAATTATGTTGAAGTTTCCAGCTGGTGCAGAGCAGTGGCTACAATATTATTGAGGCCTACAATTTTGTAGCGGCCTAGCCAGCTCAGCCTTGAACACCTCACTCATACCTGGCCACCTTGAAATTCTGGGGCTCTGCTCTCAGTATCGCCGCTTTTTCATAGGGAGGCCTTCAATGTAGAGCAGACGTGCGGCAGTCATCTACTCACCTTGACCTTCATTGCATTCATCCATCTGCCTAAACTTTCATTCCATTCATCCACTCACCTAAACCTGCGTTGTATTCATCCACTCACTCTGACTGTCTGTGCTGGCATTCACTTACATAGAATGTTATTGCTTTCAGCACCATCGAGATTTTCATTGGATTCCAGCATCCCTATTCCGTTGCAACTCGCGCTCCAGAGTGTTTTCGCTTTTTCAACACACTATTTTTCATGTGCGGGCTACTGTGCGTTCAAACATTATTCATATTAATTAAAGTTAAAAGTTTTAACTAGCTCTTACCAGGGTAAAAATTTACCTAATACCCCAGTTTTAACTACGCCGCTGGCAGATGTGTACACAGGGAGCGAAGTGAAGAAGATTGTTGTAATCAACGCCTAATTTCTGTAATGATTATCTGGTTAATAACAGTCACTTGAAGCGAATAATTAAAGGAGAAGGTTCTATTGCGCTTGCACTCTATTTTCCAAATGAAATTGCTTAACACAATTTGTCCCGTGGAATTAAGGTAAACTTCAAGTTAGCAACAGGTAAAGGTAAGGTTTAAAGTAAACTTCACTCGAAAAATTCAGCCAACGTAGAGGCTTTCAGTTTCGGCAAGATATTCAATACGTAAGAAGAGCAAGCTTGATTTTTGATACAAGTTATGCTCAAGAGTGCCCGATCATATTCAACGGTTGCCATTAGACCTTCCAACCATACATTCATCAACTGAAAGGTTATTTCGTCAGAATGACGACATTGCCGTTTGTAGTCGAAACTATTTTCAGTTCCTACTCGGACAACTAAGTAAATTTCTGTGTAAGTCCTTCTTAAGTTTTCCCTGATCACCAAAAATATACAACGGTTCAACACTCTATTCAGAATTATATAGATTCAAAAGCTTGTTATGAGCTAAATATTATTATGCAACTTGCAAAACTTTTCAAATCCTTACTCCCATCATGCTCATGGCCTGGAGATATTTAAGACTCCATAGTAGTTCCAGCGACTAGAGCACCCACAAGTGTATTATAACAATGAAATAAATACTCTTTAAGCCCTGAGTTAAAAAATTTTAATCCACCAGAGATACATTCTCTGGCCACTGAAAATTTCACCATTACGTTCATCAGTTTAAATCGTTGGAACCCACCGACGGAGACTGACCGGAATCCGCAGCGGAAATGCCAAGCACAAGACGAGACTCCGGACAGGGCAAAGAAACACGATACACTTGAAGAAAATATATAATAGAATTTTTGGTATGATTACACAGGCGATCGCAGAGATAATATACATGCAGGATAACTCTTATCATATACAACACAATCACGGCTCTATGTGCATGTATGATCTGAACTACTGAAGTATCCGGAATGTATTTCCGCAGTCATATCATGAGTAGAGCGGTAGAACATCCTGAAAAATGTAGCCTCACTAGTGCAACAATATTTCCTTTATTCAATTATATTTACAATATAGCTAACAGTTTACAACGTTGAGATCAATTCTCCTCGATAAATTCGACCGCAGTTTATGCGCCGGATCAAATTGTTCCATATTATTTTGTTAATATATTATTAGTACAGGCAAATAAACCGACGGAGAATAATTTAAAATTCCAACAAAGGAGTAAGGCATACAAATATAAAGCGAGTCTGCAAAATTTACGGCAAAATTAACATTTTCATTCGACTAGACAAATTACGTTTTAATACAAATAAATCCATTTTTAAGAGGAATGTTTACAAGAAATAAGTATCTTAATCAAAATGATTAATACATTTTTGTTATTTAATTTTCATTCATAAATTTTCGGTGCTAAACTAAGGACGATTCCCCGACAGTGATGACGTCAAGAATAGAGTGGGCGTTGTTGTTAGTCGATTGGGAAATCAAGTGGGCCGAGTGGGCGGCCGGGGGCTGGTTAAAGTGGGTTGCGTAGGCTGCTTTAGGTGGGTTAAAGTGGGTTTTGAGGGCTGCATTGGACGGGTTAAAGTGGGTTGAGGAATGGTTGTACGGAACGCGCGTAAGGTAAGTTGTAGCAACGTCATGCTGCCCATTAGGAAGAACTCCTGTTGGATAACGACCATAATTATGTTGATCCATTGTAGAATTGCAATAATGGTTCAACGCAGGATTAGACTGATGATAATCAACAGGATAATGTTGTGCAGCTGCAACGTCGTGCAAACTGGCACTGTGATGATATTTATTATGATGAATTTGCCCTGCATACTGAGGGTGGTTCGAAGTCGGTGCTTGTCTCAATGGTGCGTCAGAGACGTGGTTGCTTGAATAATGGTTGTTCCCTGGTGCGCTCGTAGGTTGACTGGTAGCAAGATGAGGTACAGACAAGGATGGTGGTACCATGTCTGTGGCGTGTACTCCGCTACAAGGTTTGTGTGGGTATGCGATGACTGTTGTGTTGGGGCTTGAGGTGGAGTGCCCACTTCTGCTCTCACTGCCTGAACCATCTTGGGCTACGGACGTTCCTGTACAGAAGATACTGCATATTACGAACATTTATTCAACTAGAAGGTACGTTAAGGTCTGCTTATTATTTCACTAGAAATGGTATTTTAGAAATTGTACTTTGAAATTCGTGTTTGCCTTAAACGCGCCAACTTCAGGTGATTAAAAATTATTTAAAACTTCGTCATTATACGTAAAAAATAAATGAAAATAATTGTGAAAAATTAATTTTTTCTTCTAGCTTATATATTACTGGCCCTCGGCAGTCACAGTCAAATCTTTTACGTTTATAAATATCAATACGGTGGCGGCGGTGTTACAAGTGGTAATGTTTACCGGAGAGGGCGGGTGAGGGGCCTTGGGACGCAGTGCACATCCTGGTGGAGTAGCCGGAGTCATTATGGGAGTCGTGTTCCAAGGAGGACTCCAGAGCCGCCTTCCCTCTACGATGCTCCAGCCGCCCCTCCGTCAGGTAGCCGTCGTACAGACGACGCACGGCTTGCTGGATGCGGTACCTGAAACCCAAGACGCACATTCATTCCTAGCTCAATTCATTCAGAAAAATGATTGACTTTGTCCAAATAGTGACGCAATTTTTATCCCTGTGTGGCCGTGTGTCAATTCTTAACTCAGTGCAAATAAACTCAATAAATCCTCTACGAAAAGGATTCCGTATTATTTAGGATACATACCAGTCAGTCACACAAAAAAATTAATTATGAAGAAAATATTTCGGGAAAACCTCACCTGTCCATATCGAGGTAGACCGCAGCCTCCTGACTGTTGTGCGCAGGAGCAACGGGGTAACAGTGCTTGCCATACTCCGTCAAAAATTTATCATCGTACTTAGTTTTCTCGGTTTCACTGCTTTTAGTTGGAGGGACTTTATTTTGGTAGCTGATAGTGCCCGACATTTGCTCGTTGGTGTTAGCACTAGAACTATTGTTGTCCGGTAAAGGCTTATGAGATTCATGATTATTCCCTTCTGGAATTTTCTTCAAATTTCTGTGGTCTTGTTTGACGCTATATGATGGTTGTTCAGGGCCGTTGAATTCCATGACATCCCCGATATCAGTTTGTGATGATCCTTCACTGCAGCCTGAATCTCTCACTTGCTCTTGGTCCATGGTTGGAGCAACGTCTCCGTAACTTGGTTCCACCTCCTGTACGTCGTAGAGATATCGTCGGTTGTTACGAGGATCGTAACGGTGGTAAGAAGGCCATTTGCTTTGAGGGACAAGCTCGTTGGGGGCATGAACATCTACCTTCACTATTTCTCTATTCGAACTGTCCCCGGTAAATATGGATTCTGGTAACGATGTGGCGCTACCCTTGGGTATGGCGCCGGTGTTGGCATAATAAGGATGGTTAAGAGATAATTTACCGACATCCTGCTCTAATTCTGCTCCATTTTCCCTACTAGATCTCCTGTAACTGCTCGTATCTTGAGATAAAGGTTCTTGTTCGCCTTCGGAGTCACTGGAATCTTCCATGACTTCGACGTGTTCTGGACCCATATGTCTTGAAGATCCTTTGCCAGATTCTTCAAGTTCAGCGTCTGGGAATGCCGGTCGACCCGTAGAATCATTCGCTGAAGTGGATGCATGTTTATTAGAATCTTTAAATCCCTCAGCGTCTTCATCGTGTACTTGCTGGTGTAGGTTGTACATCGACGTGGGATGATCCATCACCCTGAGGCCGCGACATGTTGTTTCATTCAAGTCTGACATCGCGTCCGTTAACGCTTCTTCTGATCTCGACCTGAAAAATGAAATGCTAACGAATCTGTTTGTGAATTGTTTTAATTTCTGTTGTCCAAGACAAAAACTCAGTTGTCCAGACAAAAACTTGTATATTTCATCCTATTAGCTTTTTAACTGATAGAAAGCGCAACTCTTCTACTAAATTCCAATTTACGCGAGAGCTTTTATTACTGACCAAAAACATAATAAACACAAAAAAGTAACAACTGACCATTGTTAAGTTATGCAAAACATTATGAATTATCTTATTTAACTGGAATTTAAAAGACTGAGATTCGTTACCGTGATAGCGAGTAGAGTCCGGTAACGGGATCACGGTGACGTCCCGACCCTATCCTGCTAAGGGCTCTTCTTAGGGTCGGAGGGAGGGCAGGGTCGTGGGCTTCAAGCCTCTTTTCAACCCACTGCTGCAGACCCTGGGCATGGGCTGCCAGTCTAGCTTCCCTGTCAGCAGCAGACTCGGTGGTTCTCTGCAGACACTCACGGCGCTCCTCACTTAGCTGCAGAAATAAGTTACGTTGGAATTTGTTTTGCATATCTTTAGTTTCTGAATAAAATGACTCACCTTAAGTGGCGTTGTTTCTTTTCGATGATGGTTCTTCATTCTGCTTGCAATTACGCATAAAAAATTGAGATTATTTTAGCTAATACTTCAGTTTGGCGATCAGTTTAAGGTTCTAATTGAGTAGATACTATTGATTAATAATTTTTTATAACTTCATCTTATTTTACACGGTCTGTTTGCGGTTGTGGACGTTTGAGCATAATTGTTTGATTGAGCACTATCGTTTCTATAATTTTATATCAACATTTTCTACCTTTGATTTTAACTCAAGCGTTTCTTTCTCAATGAAGTTGCACGATAACACATTTACTAACAACGTGAATGTGCACGATAACACATTTACTAACAACGTGAATCCATTACTTCTGAAACCTTTACTTGAACATCTGGGACAACATATGTAACCTTTTCACCCACATACTTTTAAAATGAAAATAGCCTTTTCCCTTAATAGGATAGGAGATATTTCCATGTCTCCGACTATTCCAATATGAAATTTCTTTGAATCAATTCACAGATTAACTCACCTTATTTTGCACAGTTTGCTTGAGGTTGTGTATGTGCGTGTGGGTTTTCCGCTCGAGCGAATGTATTCTCTTGTCGAGCTTCTCATGATGCGCGTCGATGTGGTCCATGAGGGCGACCTTGTCAGACTCGAGCTTGTGTTCCACCTTCTTGAAGAAGGGAGCGCAGTAGCAGCTGTTGCCCACCGCCACCGGGCCCTGGTATAAATGGGTGGATTAATAACGCTAATTAACAAATTAACACATAATCGGTAATTATGTGTTTTGAGAATGAGTATAAAAAAACGGTACAAATGGGGGGATTAATTATGCTACTCAGTTTAATAATGTGTTTTGAGAATAAGTATAAAAAACTGGTACAAATTGGGTGATTAATTATGCTACTCAGTTTAATTATGTGTTTTGAGAATGAGTATAAAAAACTGGTACAAATTGGGGGATTAATTCTGCTACTCAGTTTAATAATATGTTTATAGAATTAGTATTAAAAAAACCGGCACAAATCAGTTTTTAAATTATGCGACTCAGTTTAATTATGTGTTTTTAGAATGAGTATAAAAAATGGCACAAATCAGTTTTTAAATTATGCGTCACAGTTCAATTATTCGAATTCAAAATTTTTAATTTGCTCCAATTTTTCAGTTAGAGAATTAGATCCAGTTTTTAGATTGGCTTCTAGTTTGATATATTATTTTACGACGCAATACATGAAGTTCATGATTGGTGTAACTAGCATAATGTTATGGTAATGATTTGTAGCTAGCATAATGTCATGCTTGTGAATAAAATAATTTCTAATTTTACGCTTGAGTTTCATAAACAATCGGTAATCAATTGAATTGCTATGATAAAGCATCTTTCGAATTACTTTGCTCCTGTTTTGCTAGCAAATCTTGTAAAAGATCTTATTATACGTAAAAAAACAATATATAGTTTCAAATTGTACGTAATAGTATTACTTTTTTAACGTTTCCGGCGAGATCAACGTAGTATTGTTCGCCAGCCTTCAGAGCGCCTTTGGGCAGCGCGCTTGAGTCGATATTTGGCAGGTCCAGAGCCGCGGTGTGACTGTGGCAGCCGTACGGCGACCAGTGAACGCCGCTTCTACAGCCGCCACTCCGGCGTTCTCGATTTTCACTCTTAAGCTATAAATGGTGAATAAAAATATTGTGCCACAAACCCACTTCTCAGGTATATGAGAGAAATGAAAATATTGTGCATCAAACTAACTCAACAGAAATGTAAGAAAAACAAAAATATATTTAAGCTAAGAAAAAGCATCCAGCAAAGTACTTAAAATAATTTTATAAAAACATTTTCAAGCTTTATTCAAGAACGTAAATTCAATTATCTATAAGAAAAATTATTTTATCGCTCTTCAATTTAGGTAGAAGAATAAATTTAGCTCTTTCTCACTCCCCACAAATTGCTCACCTTCTTTTTGTCCTTTTGTCTGGTGCTGCTGTCTTTACTGCTTGTTCCACTGTCGTTATTCTTCTCCCTTTTATCGCCTTTATCTTCTTTCCTTCTAATATTATTCGTTCCTTCTTTCTTGCTCTGTTCTCGCTCCCTTTTGAGTCTCTCTTCAGGACTGACGACTGCCGGGGGATTTTGCAGGATTTCCAAAATTTGCTGGAAATTCTTTCTTCGGGCGATATCCTGTGGAGTTTCCTCTTGCTGAAAGTGAAGAAAAGCGTTACATGAAAGTCTTTTGGTCTAGGAATTTTTTTAAATATATGTGCAGTGATTTGCAAGCATAAACTCATCGAGATCTTGTGCCACAAGGTGCAGTACGGAATGTTAGGAAGAAATGATATTACGTAGCTTCTTATGAATATGAACTCAACGAAGATTAAAGCTATGTTCACGTAATAAGTACAGTAAAATAAAAAATTTAGGTAATTTTAAGTGAATAGCTTATGGAACCATTTTTTATGACTACCTTATTGAAACCATTTTGCTTGGCTCCAGCCTCTAGAAGAATCCTTGTCAGTTTTCTTCGTCCCATTGCAGCGGCGATATGAAGGCAGCTGTCCCCGTTCTGTTCAAAAGGCAAATTAAATTTGAATTAATAAGAGGTCTCAAATTTTGTTGCATGGACTCGATATAAAAAGGAATCTTTAATTAACTTGAAAATAAAATCTATTGATAACTTCACATGTATACAAAAAGTAGGTACTTGTTCGCAAAGGTTTCAGAACATTTCTTTCCAATGAAAGTAAATTTGAATGAACCAATATATGTATATTACCGTGTATAAAAAATTGCACTTACAAGTGATGAATTGTTGAAAAGTTGGCATGGCTGAGGCTATTACGATTAAAAAAAAATCTTACGTACATTAACTCTACTGTAACTATGAGTTACGTATAATGTATCTCATATAATGCAATGNGGGGAATTTTATTTGGGGGGAGGGGAGTTATAGTGATGGTAAATTTGTCTTCATTGAAGGTAAGTTAAAATTGTGTTTTTGTATTACGGGCAGGATGGGGGAGTTTTTTTTCTTTTTGAGGGGGAGGGAAGCTCAATTATTGTGATGTGTTAGCAATTTTTTTAGGAGAAGGTCAATGACAGTGATGTGTTGGGAATGAAGGAGTCAGTCATAGTGATGTGCTGGGAATGAGGGGCTTAGTTATGATGATGTGTCGGTTAACTACTTCCAGACTTGCCTATTATTCAATTCTACCACAAAGGGTCGAATGTATAAGGATCTTAATATAATTTTCAACGAATTGTCTTTAGAGGACTAGAAACATGTTTGTTCATTTAAGAAATCGCCATTCATTTATTCACTAACTTGTGTATTTTTCATTCATTGACTAGTTAATGCCAAAATTGATTCCATGCAATATTTTAGAGTTTGAATTCGTTTCTAATTTTGGATATAATAAACTTTTCGCAAAATATTTATCAATAATTTTGCACTTTGTATTTTCAAAGAATATCAATCTTTGTTGCACTTTAAATTTTTTTCGATTTTGAGCAAAATATCAATCTTTAAAGCCATTGGAAAATGTAACTGAATTTAGTAAAAGAAATCACAGTATTAACTGCAAAATTCGAAAATATAAAGTTTGTTAACAGACTTTCCAACACGCCTCATGCAGGCTTTTGATGCCGTGCTGAAAGGGATTTGACTTAATTTTATTTTATTTAAAGATTTGACTTAATTTACTGTTGGAGATTAGAGTGTCACCAGAATAATTCAAATTTTAGAATAAATATGCACTCGTATTTTGGTCAAAACATTTCATCATGCATGAAGCCGAATACCGCGCTGGTATGAGGGAGTTGTAGCTATAATATGATGTCAATTTGATATATGACGGGGATGAATCAATAGAAAGACTAAATTTGGTGTCCCAAATTCGAGAACTACACCATAACTGAAAATATTTTGTGAAAGATTTTATAATACTCTTGACACATAAAAATTGTAGGTATTAAAGTATATTCAATAATACACATAACACCTGCAAACTTTATGTATCAAAGAATATTTCATTTATACTCATAATACTCGTAAATTTCATGCATAAAATAATATTTATAATACCTATGACACTAAACCGTGGTGCTGGTAACCCGTAAAGTCACGAACGACTTACGGTAGTCACAGACAACTGACGGTAGAGTCACAGACGGCTAACAAGACCAGGCGGTTAACCTGCAAATCTTATTTATCAAAGAATATTTCATTTATACTCATAATACTCGTAAATTTTATGCATTAAAGAATATTTATAAACCCTATGACCCTATATCGTGGTGCTGGTAACCCACCAGGCGGTCCTGATGGTCGACGTTAGCGCCGTGACGCAGCAGCAGACGCAGCGCTGCTACGCGGCCCTCGCACGCCGCCCTCAGTAGCGCGCTGCTCCCGCCCTGCAATGTTATTTTAAACGTTAGTTCTTGAGAATAAATACAATAATTCAATTCATTAATCATTAAGAAAAAAAAAACAATGAATCTATTCGTTAATCGTAAAAAAAAATAATTCAATTCGTTAATAGTTAAGGAAAAAACACGATAATTCTGTTCATTAATCGTTAAGAAAAAACGTAATAATTCTATTCGTTAATCATTAAGAAAAGAAACACATAATTGAATTCGTTAATCGTTAAGAAAAACACAATAATTCAATTCTTTAATCGTTAAGAAAAAACACAATAATTCAATATGCTAATTCAATACGTTAGTTGTTAAGAAAAAACAAGCAAGACTCTCTAAAACTTATGTCATGATCTAAAAAGCATGATAATTTACAGAGAAAATTTGAGGAACACATTAAATAATGATAGCGTTGATCTTTGCGGTCAATCATCATGAAAAATAGAAGCAAAATATATAATATTGAATGATGACAAACTATTATTAATCAACAAGATTATAACCAAATAAATTCACTTCTCTAAACACCGAGATAAGCTAAAAAATTCGGTTATAATCACCTCGGGGTACATCAAATAAGAGTGATGAACTAAAACCCAAATAAAATCAAACTGTACATTCCATTTTTGTTACCTTCGAGTACCTGCTTTGAAAACTTTTATTACCTAAGAGTTTTGAAGACGAAAGGGTAGTTAATATTGCGGTCGGATCACAAAACAAGAATTATATCGGATATCAAATAGAAAGAGTGGAAACACATTATCCTTTATAAATATACGACAAATGAAAAGTAATTATGCAAAACGTGAAGCGCTACCGAAAATTTTAGTTTAGTTCGAGAACTGATCGCGCGGTGGCAGCTGCCAGGCCGGAAGAATAAGCAGGCTCAAGAATGCGAAGCCCCGCACGAGCGACCAGGGCTCAGGGGTTCAGATGTCACTACAGCGTTGAATATCACGTCGAGGCTGGCTTAGCGCGGGCTCAGTGTCATCAGAGCTCGGTAGGTAGATCTATAACGAGTAGATAAATCTATCTAAATTAGTAAATTGGATTTAAATTAGACAAATCTATCTATCTAGTAGATAAATCTATCTATCGATTTAAATCTAAATCTATGACGATTAGACAAATCTATGACGAGTAGTTATATCCATGACGAGTAGATAGATTCATCACGAGCAGTGTAGGCTGAAGAGTAGATATATCCACAACGAGTAAATAAATTCACAACGAGTTTACAGTATAGTGACACGATGAGTGGTTAAATCTATGACGAATATATAAAACCACGGCGAGTAGTTGAACATGCGACGAGTCGTTAAATCCGAATAGTTAAATATGCGATCAGTAGTTAAGTCTGCGACGAGTAGATAAATCCGTAACGAGTAGCTAAATTTGCGACGAGTAGATAAATCTTTGACGAGAAGATAATTCCGCGACGAGAGGGAGCAAGGGTTCATTATTCGTATTGCCATGACCATGAAATTGTTCGCTAATCCACTACATTAGAAGAAAATCCTGGTAAGTTGATGTGAGAATATGCATATTTTTGAAACGCCATACGATCACTGAGCTGCATTAATAGCAATATTATCATGCGTAATATGTTTTAATTAAGCGTTTCTTTGTTTGAGATCTCAGACTTTGAGCGGAACGAGTGTTTGTTCATTTGAATTGAAGACTCATAACATTTAGAACTAAATTATCCAAGTGAGAAGTGTTCCTTTCATCAAGTTAATGTTCACTTCCCTTAGCGAGAGTCTCGATCGTTCCCTTAACAGCAAGGGTTCCCACAATTGAGTTTAGAGCGCTAACTGCTGGAGGAAGTCGAGCTAATGCACGATGATAAATGCTCGCTAAAAACCTCGACCGCGACCGGGTTTGGCATCCCTGATACGGGATGGGAAAACACAAGCAAGAACACAGGAACAGCAAGAAGAGTTAAAACAGCTTTTCAATTTTCTGCATGTTTCTATGCTTGACAGGAAAAGGGTTAAAGTATTGAATTTATGTGAAAAATTAGGAAGCTGAGTTATGAAGGAACAATTTTTCAGTTTGCAGAGAGGGTCTAATATTTATGTATACTAAAATATTTTAACTCTTGAAAGAAGTTGGAAATGTATAAGGTGTTTGAGCTTACACGACATGGAAGAGAAATACAGCATTTTCGTTTTATATTAGAAATAAAATGTTTTCTGGGGCCGCGTTTCAGGCAGTTCGCCGCACACGAATCACCAAAATTGCAGTGACACCTGGAAATCACGGTCGTAAAATTTGGTCGCCATAAATCTGGGGGGCAAACCGACTACCATTGTGGCTGGGTGAACTTTCCAGCCATTATTGAATGTTGACATTGTTTGAACATTTAATGAAAGGAGCCTTATCTCTCTAATGTCGTTGTTGTACGTGACGTCGGCCATTCACATACATATTTCACAATCCTACTCACTAATTGAAAAGAACCTTGGTAATCAAAATAGTAAATTCACATTAGTTGAAAAAATAATCTAAAATTTAGCCCAGCCAAAAACTCTTACCATGCGACGAAATTTTTTACACTAATTAAATCTTTATATGCAGTTACATTCAAAATAATTTTTTACATTTTCCAATCACAATCTTCATAATGGCTTACTTGTCAGAACCGTCAATAGGTTCGGTAAGACCAAAATATCCGTTAAGCGAAAATAAAAAAAAAAAATAAAAACAGTTTAAAAATTTCGCACAAAGTAGCGTTTCTTAAGCAGTTCTTCTTAATCAGCGACACTTTATTTTTATAACGGCCCGGCGCTCGAGCGTCGGAAGGCGCGCATGCGCGAAGGTAGCGCGTGTCGGCATCGCTAAGTTTGTTTATTGCCATGACGTAAAAACCATCGTGCTCATTCCATGAAATTAAAACTGAAGTAAAAAAACATCACAGCAAATAACTAGGGAATTGCCAGAAATGTTGCAAGGTTTTTACGAAGTGCAGGAATATAAACAAACTTTCGTCGACATTTGTTACGCTTTTAGAGAGAAATTCCGGATTTTCACGGCAGTAGTAAATTCCTTGCATCCTACAGACATTACGGACGAAAGGAGCTATTCGACTGTGCGTGAGGAGCGTTGCGTGACGGAAGGGCTTCCTGAACGCAGGCTCAACGAACGAACAATCATTGCGATTGTTACAAGACCTCGAACAATCACTACGATTGTTACAGGACCTCGAACAATCATTGCGATTGTTACAGGAAAGACTGACCCTGCACTCGTACGAACTCCTTCGAGGATCTGAAGTCATACAATCTGTGGTAATGATTGCTCGTTTCCAGAATTATTGTTGCCATAGATCATGTTCTGTGCATGAGTGATCTGACTCGTGAATTATTCATGCATGTAATTATTGAGACTTTTATTAATGAATGATATGACAATGAATGACTAAATGAATTGATTGCTTGGGTCCTGTATCCTTCATACCCAATACGTCGAATGACGATAAAAATGGTTTTTCACTTAAAATCTTTATAAAAATTCAGTATTTACACAATTCTAAAAGATTGCAAATGCTTCTTGTTTCAATGACTGATTCTGGAACACTTAAATGGAAGATACACAAGGGAAAAGATAGATAGATAGAGAGAGAGAGAGAGAAGAGGTGAGAGGGAGAGAAAGAGGAAACAGAAAGAAAGAGATGGAAGGAAAGAGATGGAAGGAAAGCGCGAGAAGGAAAGAGATAGAAGGAAAGACAGAGAAGGAAAGAGAGAGAAGGAACGAGGGAAAAGGAAGGAGAAACAAAGAAAGAGAGAAATGGAAAGAGAGAGAGATGGAAAGAGAGAGAGATGGAAAGAGAGAGAAGGAAAGAGAGAAAGAAAGAGATAAAAGGAAAAAGAGAGAATTTTTTGTTTTAAGAAAGAAGCAAATACAGAAAACCTCAAACGGAAATTCGCTGGACGAGATTGCCTCACGTTCGTCGGACGCGAGGGAAAGCCTCTGTTCTGAAAAAAACCGCAATAAATAGCGGACGAGCTCTCCAAAGCAGGCTTGTCATTGAACACGGAAAAAATGTGCTCAGTCTACAACTCCTGCGGCTCTTCAAGGCAAACAAAAACTTTATAAAAATCTTAGACGATGACAGCAGAATTGTGTCGACACTGAATAACCCCGAGGAAAAAAAAGTAAAGAATTTATTTCAATGCTCATGTTAAAAAAATTTAAATATTCAAATATAAGCATCGCGATGACACTATACAATAATAACTTCAGCAACGTTAAGACATTGATAGAAAAAACTGAGCATTTCGATGACACTATATAAAGATAAATTCAGCAACGTTAAGACATTCATATAAAAACTGAGCATTCTGAGCATTTCGATGACACTAAATAATGAAAACTTCAACAACGTTAAGACATTCATATAAAAACAGGACATTTCGATGAGATTTTCTAACGATAAATTCGAACAACATATTGACGTGCGACATAACAGAGTCACTGCATGGTGCAAAGGCATGAACATAGCGGGTGCCATATGGATTAACTGTTACAGGTCACAAGTCAGGTAAGTAATGAAGTGAGCGAATCCCAGCAGGTCAGTAGCTGAGTTCTGACGATGACAGCAGAATTGTGTCGACACTGAATAACCCCGAGGCAAAAAGAATTAATGAATTTGTTTCAATGCTCGCGTCCAAAAAATTGAAATCATTAAATTAAAAGCATTAATTAAAAGCATTGCGATGACACTATACAATGATAAATTCAGCAACGTTAAGACATTCATACAAAAAACTGAGCATTTCGATGACACTAAATAATGAAAACTTCAACAACGTTAAGACATTCATAAAAAAAACTAAGCATTTCGATGACACTAAATAATGAAAACTTCAACAACGTTAAGACATTCATAAAAAAAAAACTGAGCATTTCGATGACACTTTCTAATGATAAATTCAATAACATATTGACGTGCGACATAACCGAGTCACTGGTGCACAGGCATGAACATGGAG